TCTAAGCTCTGGTGTCTATGCCTCAGCTATGGCTCTGCTCTCACTCAATGCCTGTCCTACCTGCTCTAAGCTCGGGTGTCTATGCCTCAGCTATCTGGCACGTACCAGGCTCTGTGAATCTTTACTGAGCAAACAGATGAGGTCATGAAGATCTGGGTAGGCCATGATACTGTAGGTAAGGTAGGGAGGAGAATGGCGGGGATGGGAGAAGAAAGCAAAGAAAGGGAGAGTGGCCAGGAGGGAAGGCTTGGAAGAGCCCTGTAGGTGTGTGGATGCTTCCTCAGACCACAGAACAAGTCTGTAAGCAAGGATAGTCAACCAGCCGCAAGACTTTCCAGGTGAGACATAGAAGAGGTTCAGGGTCCATTATAAACTCTCCCTGCAGACCCTAAAACTAGCCCATAATACTCAGCCCTCCTGATACAGCCATCTTCAAATCTCAAACCAGACCCGTCTTGACTCAAAACTAGTACTTAAGGCTCAATATGCATAAATATATATATGATTATATTTTGCTGACTATATTTCTGATTATATGTATTTCTGACTGATTATATATTTCTGATTAGCTATTTCTGAACATATAGTATGTATAAAAATGAAGCTCAGAGCTCATCTATTTCTCTTCAATCTTTCACAGACATTTGTAACCTCAACTATCCCTAAAGCATGGATTAGGGGTGGACTGTTAGCTCCAGGCTCACTCCCTTAACTGTTCCCAGGCTGCTTTCCTCTGAGTCTCCTGGGAACTGTCCTGCCGGCTGCGTCTCGCTGTGTGCGGTGAGAACAGAGTCGTCAGCCAGGGGCTCCTAGGCGTCCCATGCGGACACAGCCAAGGGTGGAATTTCACAACTGCCCGTCACACACTGCTGCTTTGACTTAGTTTCCCTCGGTTTTACTTCCTGCCCACTTAGGTTCACTCGTCTCACTTCAGTTAACACCAGCAAAGCCAGGTCTGCAAACCTCAGGGCTCACCCACCCAGAATGGAACACAGCTCCTGAAGCCTGACAAGCATGGCCACCCGCGCGGTGAACAGAACTGGGGCATCTGGGGAGGGCAGGGGCAGATGGAGCTGTCACTGGGTGTTCTTATCTCCAGGCTGGTCACCAGGGTGGCTAGGTTTATGACACGTTGTCCAGGGTACCTTGGCCTGCAAATGTCCGTGCATTAGTTCTGTTCTTCTATTATAAGCAGCAGACTTCTCAGGTTGCCATGACAGGAGACACAGAGAAATGAGAAGGCAGGCCCAGGAGGCAGTGGACAGGAGTCAAGGCCTAATTAACCCAAAACTGAGTGCACAGACTCTAGGGATTCGGAGACCTTCAGAGTCAGGTCAGCCCGTCCTGCCCAGGCCTTGGGTCGCCTGGAGTCCACCCCAGCTGAAGCCCTGAAGGACTCATGGTAGCAAGACTATAATGAGGGTCAGAGAACTACCACAGGCTGAGGCTGGGGACCCACCCTAGATATCACAAGTCAAGAAGACTTCCAAAGAGAGGAGCCCTTCAGCCAGCAGATCCCTGAGAGACACAGAGACATTGGAGAGGTGGGAAGCCTGTAGGAACGCCAAGACTGAAATAGTTCATGTGACAGCCTCAGGTGCCTAATGGGGTACACGTAGGGAAAGCTCTAGAGAGGATCATGTGGGAGACAAAGGCACTAAGAGGCCCAGTCACAATGGCAGAAATGGGAGCTCCTGAGGAGGAGCCTATGAAACAGAGATGCAGAAGAGCTCCTGACAAGGACCACCTGGAGGGAGGAGTGCCTGAGGAGGACCAGCTGGAGGGAAGAGACCTGAGGAGCACCAGCTGGAGGAAGGAGACCTGAGGAGGACCAGCTGGAGGGAGGAGACCTGAGGAGGACCAGCTGGAGGGAGGAGACCTGAGGAGGACCAGCTGTAGCCTGTCCTGCCGCATCTTCTGCTCATCCTTTCTTCTGCCCTGCTTCTGAAGTTTGGAAACAGCCCACCCGCCTATTCCTCCTACCTGTCAGTCCAGCCAGGATGACCAGCACAGCCAGGACAGCTCTCCAGCTGCCCTCCATCTCAGCATGATCTTCCGTACCTGCAGGATGAAGGCAGCAGGTGACATTCAGACCAAGGGGACCTACTGTGCAGCTCCACACTCTGGATACCTCAGGGGCATTGCATCTGAGGCAGAGCAGTGCTCTCTCAGAAGATGCATTTTGGGGCCCATCACCAAATGCATCTGGTGGGAAACTGGGGGTGTCCCCATCACTTGTTCACACAGACCTCCAGGAACTCTGCTGCAGTTCACCTCAGAGAGTCCTGAAGGACACACCCTTGAGCCCGTTTATGGCTGGCAAGAGTCCAGGAGGACAGCCTGCCCCTGTGCTGCTGCCGAGAGGACCCAAGCTGCCTGCTCCTCATTCCACCTCCAAGACAACCCTGCCCATCCTGAGCTCACCTCACAAGGGAACATGAGACAATTAGAAGGTGGGGAAGTGCGGGGAGAGAGAACCAGGCAGGTGTAAGCCAGAGGCATTAGCTGTCACCACAAACCCAGGCAGCAACCACTGCTTCCCACGTTAGTGGGAAGGACAGAGAAGACAGCAGGTAAGAAGGGCCTGGGGTGGGGCCATGCCAGGCATGTCTGAGGAGCTGCAGACAGGGTCCCCACACAGTGTGAGTGGGAAGGATGAGGTGGCACTCATGGAGGCTGGGGAAGATGCAGTGAGCTCCTTTGGCTGTTTTGCAGCTCAGGAGGCCCCCTGGGGTCCACTGTCCTTCTGACCCCTGCTTCTTTTGCCGTCCCGTCCCTCATACCTTGTTTTCCTTTTGTTTTCTCACGGTGCTGTGTGTCCCTCTGAAGAGATTGGCACTGACTTGGTACCCTGAACCATTGTGAGCTGTCCGCAAAAGCGTCACTCCTGGCTTCAGGCCAGGGCCTGTTTTCCCAAAAATTTTCCACCACTCACACGCACTGACAAAGGGAGCCTCTCGCTTCTCGTGTGACATCAACGCAGTGGCCACAGCCTGTTGAGCAGTGCCAGGTCCCCTAGTGCCCTGGGATACACCTGTCTAATCCTCTGCTCCTGTGTCCTAGAGGCATCACGGCTGGCAGAGGACCACACTGGCAGAGGACATGGCTGGCACCTCTCAGGCCATGCATGTCTGAGAAATGCTGAATAAGAGAGTGTCCGGTCGGGCAGCGACGATGCTCAGGCCTGTGATTAACCCTTTATACCTAAACTCATGCCCAGGTACCCCAGCTCAGAGAACGGGGATGAGGGCGGGCTCCACCCTTTGTCTCTCTGATGCCTCCCAACCTCAGTGTGGGTACTGAACATTAACTACCCCATCCCTGCCCGCACTAAGCTGCATCCCTCTGCGGGCCTGAAGCCTCAACACAATGATGTGCCCGTCCATGGGGTCTCCAGGCAGAAAGATGCTACTGAAGTCATGCCTTCTGAGTCTGCACCCGGGGCCAGATCCAGCCTCACAAGGCAGCAAATAAATCATTCGCTAATTTTCAAGTTCAGTTAGCACAAGCTTGCAAGGAAATTCCTCCCTCAGTGACCTGCAATGCCCTGGTCAGCAGGAGAGGAGGGGAAACTGAGCTGCCCAGTTCTGAAAGCCTCATCAGTTTTCTTGTTTTTGTTTTGATTGGTTGATTTGTTTTGTTTTGTTTTGAAAATAGGGCCTTGTGTAGCTCAGGCTAGATTCGGACACACTGTGGAGCAAAGGCTGACCTCTCACTCCTGAACTTCCTGCCACCATCTCTGAGTACTGAGATCACAGGTGTGTACCACTATTGCCAGCCTGAAAATTGCAGATTTTACTGACAGTCACTCACAACTGTCACAACGAGGGATGGGCAAAGGTCAACAGGAAATGCTTCAACCACTGATAGTGACTTGGATCAGCTACAGAACAAAGGCACATTCTTTAACCCAGAAAGAACTCCCCTCGGGAACTCGCTCCCTGTCCCATAGCTGAGCTGCTCCTCAGCTGTCCCAGGCCAGCAGCAGAATCCGGGAGCCAGCAACTGAGCCACTGCAGCAGAACAGGATGCCTGTGCACACAGCATTTGAGAGTGTGCCTCTTTGACGTCATCAAAACAGGTGTGTTTGCAAGATAGTCAAACTCACACCTGTGACTTTGATTAAGTAGAGACCGAGGCTGGAAGCCCTGGCTAATCCTCTGCAGGGGTCTGGCCCAAACCTGAGATCACCTTCTCATTCATTTTGCTGCAGAAAGCTTTGAATGGCCGATTTTTGTTGAAAAACTACCATCTTTTCAAAAATATAAGTCTTTGGAAGTTTCAGTGACCTCCTACCCACTCCGCACTGGCCTACCAGGGAAAAAACAGTGAGAAAAGCTGACAGGTCTCCCAGCAGCAGGAAAGAGAGACCACAACCTGCTGCCTCATAACTTGCTCCTTGTTTCTGAACTGCAGAGCCTCCTCAGGGTCTAAACGTGCGCTTTCAGCCAAAGGCTTCTCTCGGACAGCAAACCTGCTTGGTAGAGCTGAGCCCGGGGCCTTCTCCAACCCCGGCATTTCTGCTGCACCTCAGAGCCCACAACTCTGTGGGCCCAAATCCAGAGTTGCTTCCTCACTGTGTTTCTCCTCACTGTGTCTCCTCATTGTGTCTCTCCTCACTGTCTCTCTCCTCACTGTGCCTCTCCTCACTGGGCTCTCTCTCCTCACTGGGCTCTCCCTCCTCACTAGGACCCTGACTTTCCTTGTGGCCTGGTCTCTCAGAGCCCTCAATGGCAACAGAATACCCTCCTCTTAGGGTGGCATTTACAAATTTGTCAGGGAATGAGGAAACTGCCTTCTCATCTCATGGCTCCTGAGGCCATTCTGAATCCCAGCAGAGCCCTAGAGTAACCGCAGAACAGGTCTGAGCAGAGAGCTGCTCACTGACAAATTACTGGGATTTTGAACTCTGAGAGCTGCCTCCCTGTTTAATTTTCAACCCAGTGGAAGCTGGAGGGCAAACACTGTGCACTTCTGCGGGGAGCCATGGCCTACCAGGCACCCACCGAGTCTGAGGAGACCCACTGACAAACACCCATCTGTGGCCTTGCCTCCCTTACCTCAGGCAGGTAAATCTCTGTATTCTGTTCACACAGGACTTCCTGGCCGCTCGCTGCTCTGCACACAAACACAGGAACACTTCTGTCTGGATACTCCTCACCGGGAACAGGAAGTTCCTCGCACAGTGGCCCTATGCTGTCAATGCCCAGGCTATAAACGTGGAGGTGCAGAATGGTGTGAGCGCCCCTAGCTGCAGGGACCTTCCTTCTTAACCAAACACAGGAAGTCCAGGCCCAGGCTCTGAAGCAGAGGCGGAGCCTCCCAGAGGGAGCCTTTTCCCAGTCCTTGGGGTCAAGGCTGCCCAGATCCTGGTTCAGGCGTCCTTTGCCACCAGCTGGAGCCAGGCTCAGTCAGCCCCAAAGGCTGAGCCAAAATACCTTGGCCTGGCCATCCACCTGCCTCTAACAGAGGCACAGGGGCTGGTGAAACCGGTTCCCTCCCCAAGCAAACAGGACAGCCCTCAGCGGGAGTGAGCTGGGCTTTGACAGCCTTTAGGAGTGTAAGCTGAAGTTCTGAGAGAAAGATTCCCATTAAAGACTGCAGGCTGATTGGCAGAGGAGAAACTCCTGATTGCGGGGAGTCCGAATGCTGTAGATCAAGGAGCAGCCTATCTTGGGCTACCATCTCTGTAGCATCCTTTTGGCCTAGCGAGTAAAAACCTCGGAATTACTAACTTAGACCATTGCTTCCACCACACTAAGGCCTGATGATATTGTCACACAGGGCCGAAACACAGAACAGCAACTTCGGCATCACCGTAAGTGCCCACAGGGGCATCTGATCCATGACTGTCTTTTGCTCTGAGATGAAAAGTGCAAGTGGCCCCTTCTGCCAGGGAACCTGTTGTTGAAGGAAAAGTGAATCTGGTTGCTCTGGCCAGCCTCCCTCACATTTGGCTGCGAATAAACTATTCCTTACTCCCTCTCAACTGGAGATCCTCTTGCCTGCGGATCTCACTTCCCTGCAGAGCGTTTGTCTGAGAAGTGCAGATGGAGCAGGCACCTCAGCAGCCCCTGGGGAAGGAGCTGGGACTGCAGCCCACTCCTTCCTCAAGGACTAAGCATGGACTGTGACCCCACCCATGTGCCCTCTGTCTACTCAAGAGACACCCCTCTGAAAGGAAACACTGCCAGGGATCTTTAAAAACAGATCTGGAAGCTCTGCCATCCTAGCATATGTCTGAGCACGAAGAGAAACTTCAGCAATATTTTTGGCCCTTGCTATTTTAAATTCACAAACTTCAGATCTGCATAACATGTTCATGAGGCAGTTGGGACAGCAGGCAGGCTCTGAGGGAAAGCGGAGAGGGGCCAGGGGCCTGGGAAGCCCAGCAAACCAGGCTGGCCTCGGTGGGTGTGCATATGCTAGGTGGCCAGGGGAAGCAAGCTGGACCGAGACACCAACCAGCCAGTGTTTGGGCAGAGGGGACAGTGTGGATCAGACAGCATGCAATGATAGGAGGCCCGGGATTCTATGGAACCTGAAGAGGCCAGAAGGCCCTGATGTAGAGAGGAACAGCTGGGGTGGTCTCAGATGTACACACGGAAAGTTCCAGACAGCTGGCCAGGCTTCCAGTCTATATTCAGCTACACAAAGGGGGAAGCTATGAGAACCTTGGGACTGGGAAAGGATGTCGAGATGCCTGGGCTCTGAGAAACAACTCTTGACAGCCCTCAGCTGCAGGATGCTGTCTATGATGGAGTGAGAGGCATTCTTTCTGAGCTCTCTGATGACCCTGCTCCAACACCATGGTGGTCCCCTTACCAACTGATGCCTTGAGAGAAAATCTTCATCACATGTTTCATTCTAGACTTTCAAGACAGCCATCATTTTATCTTTTTTTTTTTTTTTGAGGATTTTATGTATATGACTACGGAAGATATTTAGAAAACATGAAATAAGTGAGCCACCATTCAACTCTATCCTGCCTCCAGAAAGACTAATTTTTAAAGATTAGTTTTTTTATTCTATGTGCATGAGTGTTTGCCTACATGCTTGTATGTGCACCACATGCCTGCAGCACCCACAGAGGCCAGGGAAAGGTACCGGGTCCCCTGAACTGGAATTATGGGGGGGGGCTGTAATTAAGAATGCTGAGAACCAACCCAGGGTACTCTACAAAAGCCAAGAGACCAACGTCTCTCCAGCCCGGGGAACAGCAATTCCACATTAGGTCAATGTCCCATAGAGAAAAGAATGAAAAGCCTCTCTAATCTTGCCATCCCACATAATATATTTAAATTTTTAATGAAAAGCTTTAATTATTTTCCTCATTAAAGAGGTGATGTACATTCCCTACAGAAAACAAGGAAATGCAGGAAAGCAAAAGGGAGAAAAGTTGTTTTTGTTCTTTTACATTTATTGGTGAGTATGTGTGCATTAGGGCAGAAGACAGCTCGCCACGGTTGCATTTCTGCTTCTACCTGTGGGTCCTGAGCTTGAACTCAGGTTTACCTGCTGAGGCGTATCACCGGCCCAAAGAGGAAGAAACTTTCACAACAGAACATACTGAGACCCCACAGCATGGCAGCACGGTGAACAGCCAGCACGTGTCTGCTTTAAATATGAAGGTCTGGCAGCTTACTAACTTGGTCCAAGTTCATCAGTGTTTTATGAGCCAGGGGCTGCAGAGGTGGCTCAGCGCTCAGCACTGGCTGCTCTCCCGAGGACCCAGGGTCAATTCCCAGTGGCTCACAACCACTTAGTCCAAAGGGTACTTTTAGTTTGAGATAAGTTCTAAGTTGCCCAGACAGACTTAACCTCGTTGCAAGGTTCCAGCCAGGCCTTGGACTTGGATTCTGCCTGCCTCAGCTGAGTAACTGGGATTACAGGTCTGCGCCCGACCAGGCCCATTACTCTTTATTCATTATTCTTAATGATAAAGCGTACTATCCCTATCCCTCTCCCACCCGGGTCCCTCCCCCATCTACTTCAGATGTCTATTTTATGTCCCCTCTGAGTGAGATTCGAACGTCCTCCCTTGGGCCCTCCTTAGCTGAGACTCCTAGCCGCAGGAGATATGAGCCTGAAGCAGCTCTGCAGCCAGGCTGGACTTCCAGTGGAGGGAGGGGACACCACGCACCCACAAAACCTCTGACCAGAAGTTTGTCCTGCCTATAAGTAGTGCGGCGACAAAGACAAACATCGAGGGAAGGGCCAACCTGAGGCCCACCCATGGGAGAGCCAGCGCCTGACACTATTGCTTGCAGACAGAAGCCCAGCATAGCTGATGGGAGAACCTCTGAGAGTCCCTCAACCAAGCAATAGGCCAAGGGGTATTTTAGAAGAGCAGAAGGAAAAACTGAAGGAGTAGAGGGACCAAGGACCACAGGAAGACCTACAGAGTAAACTAACCTGGGCCCACGGGGGCTCACAGGGGCTGAAGCACCATGCAAAGAGCGTGCATGGGCTGGGCCCAGACCCCTGCACATCTGTAGCAGGTCCCCTAACAGTAGAAGTAGGGGCTGTCTCTGACTCTTCTGCCTGCCTTTGCATCCCTGTCCCCTAGCCAGGCTGTTTGTCTGGCCTCAATGGGAGAGAATGTGCTTGGTTCTGCTGTGACTTGAGGTACCACGGTGGGTTGGCGAGAAAAAAGAAGGGGAGTGAGGGTGGGACTGGGAGGGAAGGAGGGAGGGGCCTCCATCCCTGCTGTAAGGTGACCAAGTAAATAAATTAAAGGGGAAGATGATTCCGCACACCCTGCCATCTAGAGGCAGCGGGCCGGTGCGTGTGGAACAGGTCCCCTTAGAGGTCCCCCCTTTCTGCTGGCGCCCTCCATGTGCTGATGTCACAGGAGAGTGCTCCACTCACCGCACCCAGCCTGCTTGCAGTTTTTATTCCTGTAGCGGTAAACACTGTGGGAAGTGAGTCAGAGAGGATACACGCAGTGGTCTCTGCAGGGTTAGTTCCAGGGGGAAATCAGCTGATGCTATAAGGTTAATAGTAAGCTCAGTGGTTGGCAGGAACCCAGGGAAAGAGCTGAATTGGCAAAGTGCAGTGTGTGTGTGTCTGTCTGTCTGTATTTGTCTCTGGGTCTGTGTAGGTGTCTGTGTGTGTCTGTTTATGTAGGTCTGTGTGTGTGTCTGTGTCTGTGTGTCCCTCTGTGTGTATGTGTGTGTGTATGTGTGTGTGTGTGTCCCTCTGTGTGTGTGTGTATGTGTGTGTGTAGGTGTCTGTGTGTCTCTCTGTGTGTATGTGTGCGTGTCTGTGTATGTATCTGTATGTGTCTGTGTGTGTGTAAGGACTGGGGCTTCCTGCTTCATGTGAGGGTGAAATCTGAATGCATGTCACAGGTGTTTGCCCAAACCCAGAGTGTCCCCCAGCCAGAGTGAGACCTGCAGTACCCTGATGAGGATGAGAGTGAGAGCAAGCCCACGGTCAGACGGCAGAGCTGTGCATGGAGGGAACCAAAATGTGAGTCCCCGCTCACTTTGACTGTGAACCTAAAGCTGCTCTGAAATGTAGTTTATTATCCTTAGTGTTACCTTCCGTTTGCTTAGACAGGGTCCCATACAGTAGCCCAGGCTAGCCTCAAACTAACTTTGTAGCCAAGGTGACCTTGAACTTCTGACCTTCTGCCTCCATCTCCCTCGCAGCTTTTCTGTGGTTTGAGCAGAGACCTCGTGAGTGCTAGGTGCACACTCTAGCAGCTGAGCCACACAGCCCTAAGGTTGATTTTTTCATGACTCGCTGGAGAAGCCTGTGGTGCTGGCAAACGGTGGGGCTGGCAGACACTGCCCAGCAGGGCACTGCTGGCTTCAGGCTTGACACCTGGGTGTTGACGCCGGTGTTCCCCAGCAGCCCCAGCCGCTAGTACAGCGCAACCACAGGGTAGGCACAGGCTCTGTGTTCTTTAAGAGGCCAATCAGTGTTCTGTTTTACAGATGGAGCAATCATTACTGAAAAATCATGTGTTCTAAAGCTCCTTAACTGTTAAAAACATTTCAATTCAGCAACTATACATTTCTGTCTTTTGTATAGAAGGATATAGCAGCTGTATACGCAGTCTTACAGCCTTTTTAATTCAAGGCTCTATTAAAACCACGGCTTCATATCATTAAAAGCCACTCGGGAAGAGTGTTTTAGTGGCTCACAATAATGAGTGACACCATGGCCACATCATTACACTGTATCACCACAGCGAGAGGAACACCCATCTGGTTCAGCTTACGCCGGCCGCAGGTCCCCAAACTGCAAACCGAGATGAAGGTGCACGCGCACAAGGC